GGTAAGTCAAGTCACAATGCTGGGTTAGTACAGACCAAAGTGCAGCTGGTTTTTTTGTTTGATTTTTGGATATTTTTTTTTTTTACAGACACTTCTCAGTGCATACTCTTCAGTTTCCCAATCAGAAAAATCCATCTCTTTTATGGCAGTGGTTCATTTACCTTCAGAGTCCTTCTCGTAGAAGACACCGTGAGGATGGATTGTATACGGCCGACTAGCAAAGTTTTTCAAGTGTACTTTAATGGTATCTCCCACTTCTGCTCGGATGATGGGCCCAAGGAACCCCAGCCACGCCGGTTTGGGAATCTCAGCAGTGTAGGTAGAGTCTGTGTATTGCTTATAGACAGATTTCTTGTAAGTACCTCCTATCCTGTCCTTGCCAGGCTGGAGGAACACTGAGGCCCTTCTGTTAAATTCAGAAGAGAGGAAGACACTGTGAGTCACACATTACACAAAACAGAATATAACACTGGAGAAAGCTGTGTGTCACTGCTGCTCCCAGGTAAGACCCAAAGCTTTCAGCATCACAGAAACCTCCCGTGCTCTACCATAACACATCCATACCCAGCAGCTGCGAGGGGAACACAGCACCATACAGGCAGCATAGCCAACAGCATCATCTGCTACACAAAATTCAGCAGAGGACACTGGGCAGCTAATGGCTTTGTGAGTCCAGAAACTGCTACAGGTACATGTAGGGGCAAACTCCTGCTGACACACAGCCATGGCCTCGTCCTGAACTCATCATGGAAAGACACAGAGCGCATCTTGAACTTTGCAAACTGTGGGGTGTGAAGGATGGCACTTCTCCAGCAGTCACAGACAAGGGACATAGGGAAGAACAAAGCCCTTCCCTCTCCTCCATCAGCCTTTATCGTGTTTTGGAAACACATCTCAATGCCTTTGTAGGGTTTGTTGCTGGCTCAACAAACAAGGTTAAAAATACTAATAATAATCTCACAGCTCTCCAGCTGAGATATGCAGCCTGAAGGGTGCTTTTCAACTCATTTTTTGCCATTTACTTGCAAAATGACAGGCAAGTATGGCAGGTATACACCCAGCACATTATAGCTTCCAGAGGTGCCAAAGTTCAAGACATGAGTATATTTGCTCTTCATGACTATTTCTTAGTAGATAAAGAGATGAGTCATGGCCCAGATATGAACAACACAGGCGGAGATGAGAGCTCGGGTTACTTTCCCCACCCCCTTAGGACTGAGCAATGCTCACTGTTCTGAAATGGGCAAAGCCAGCGCTCATCTCCAGAACACAGACAGCAGAGGTCAAAAGAGTAAACGCTGCCTTTGTCATTCAGAGCTGTGGAGGGCTGGGCTCCAGCTATACAGTCTAAAGCTCATGTTTGAGAAGCCATCCCTCTAGCTAGTATCAAAGTATATGGGTAATTCAGACTTCTAGCAACCTTTCTCCACATAGCCCATCCCTTTCAAACTAAAGAATTCTACTGTTTTACCACATCTGCCATTCTCCTACCAGTTCTTATTGCTAGCAGTTTCACTTCTGCAATCATTGCACACAGGAGCGCTGTTAGCTAACTGTTTGCAGTGACAGCTTTAGAAGAGTTAACAGCTCCTCATTTCATTTCTTCTCTTCACGTACTCCAAGAGAAAGTGAACAATAAATACTGCATTTGTTATCACTGTGGGTACCAATGAAAATACCTGCGTCACTTGATTCAGCCTGACCTTGGGGGCTTCTTTTCTGCAAACAAACTGAGCCTATTTGGCATCTCCAGAGAGAGGCGACTCGTGCTGAACTGACAGCCCTTGCTTTTCCTCTGCCCTCCTCCTATTCCTGCTGGATTTCTGAAAGATGTAGAAACCGCTGGGTGCTATTTGTTATGGCACACAGCACTGAGCGGCTGGGCAGGCCAACAAATAATTTGTCATAGAAAAAGGACTAAAAACAAATGCCTTCAGAAATTTGTGGAAAGCTACAAAAAACAAAAGTTTGTTATGCTGAAAACTGGGAACAAACTGTTTTTGTAGTGACTCAAAGGGATTACTGCACTTTCCAGATTTACTTCTCTCACAAAAACAGAACATTTTCCAAACAACCCCAAGATTTCACTAAGCAAGTTGCATCACCTCCAAGGCTTGAAGTCTCAATTAACAAAAACAAGCCAGCCCCATGGACTCATTTCCATGGAAGTGAAAAGTTGTCATGCTTCAGAATACCTACATCACCAACTGGAAGTAGGAAATGCAAACCCCAGGGCAGAGCATTACACAATCTGCTCTATTATAGTGTTTTTACTTCCCTCCAACGTAGCTGGCACTGGTCACTGGATGCTTCATTAAATTGACCATTCGCTTCCTCACAGGAACAGCTTTATCGTAAGAACACAGAAACAAGTTAACCATTAAGCTCATAAAGGCCACACAGCTGATCCTATCTCCTGCTTGCTTAGATGACCCAGAATACTTGCACAAAATTACTCAGGTAGCACAAGACTCAGTTCTTACAGAACTAAACGTACAGGCTACGTGCGATGCTTTGGTTGCTCATCACATTCATTCCTGTTGGAGCATAATTCCAGTCCACCTCATGGATCCCCAGGTAATAGACTCGGGTGATGCCTCCAGCAAACAGGGGCGATGGCCAACAGATGCAAAGCAGCAACAGCCAGAACAACCGCATCGTGGTGTGAGCAGAATGCTCTTCTGGAGGATATGTCTGCAGGCAGGAAAAAAAAAAAGAAAGGAAAAGGAAGCAGAATCTGACCACATAACTGTACCCTAAATTAGTTGGTTTGATGACACCGCACATCGAGCCAACATCCTTTGAGAGAGTGTGAAGTCAGGTAGAAGCCCTGTAGGGATCATTACCTGAATACCCACCAGGGTGAGGAATAAAGGAAATCCTCATGCTGCACAATGAGGGCACAGATTTGCCTTGATAATCAGCACACACAGCTCCGCACCATGCTTTCCTCATCACAGTTTAACTCACTGCTTTGTCAACAGCAATTCCAAATATTTTGTTTAATAGTGCTGAGAAAATGCTGCTATAATTGGCAACCCCTTCACTAAGAGGGAGATGAGGAGAACAGAGCTGTTTGCAGCAGAGGCACCCACAGTGTTATGCTGCATGACACAAAGCAGGGGCTGAACCTGCCACAGGCACCAGAACTTCAAGTGACATTTTTCACCAACATTTTCACCAATGTCCCAAATAATCATAAAGGACCACATAAAAGGCAGAAGAAAACAATCCTGAGCAAATAACACTAAAGTACTGTTAGCACAATCCTTCTCTGCTCTACTAAGCCCCCGAGAAATACAATTCCACCAACAAGAAGCATTTCAAATTCTAACTACCCTCAAGGATGCTCTTAAGGAATGGTTCCCTGCCACCCTTGGGTATGTCTGGATTAGCAGCACAAGGCTGGTTCCCTTCAACTGGTCCCAGTAATACTTCCCCATGATCTACGTCATGAAGCAAGGAGTTTGCTCATAAACACTGCACTCAGCATCAAGTTCAGTGTAAGGCACCAGGAACACTCTGGGGGACTCAAGGAGAGCAGCAGGAATTATGTGAAAGCATTCCCCATATTCTATCTTACCTGTCTGAAAGAGAAACTGATGGAGCATGAGAGCGCAGAATTACACAGAGGATATAAAAATAGATATGAAATAAAATGGATGAGAAATTAAACACAAACGCACACAAAAACGTTTAAGAAAGATCTCATGCAGAGATATAACAGGGTTATGTGCAGCCTATAAAGAAACTGGCAGCTAAAATACAGACCCAGTTCTTGAGATACATAAAAGCAACTTCGAAAAAGTTCAAAGAGAGAAACCAAGGACACAAGTAAAGAAAAATGCAACAAAGGAGCGACGCCATCGATTTTCGTAAACTTCAAGAAGGCGACGGCTGCAAAACACTACGCAAACACAGACGGGTTTTGTCTACGATACAAGGATGGCTGTTATCGTTCAGCCGCCCTCCGCTGGGAGCACCAACACAACGCGCAGCCCCGGCCCGCTCAGCCCCGCGCCTCTGCCTCCAGCTGCGCTGCCGGCGGCCATAGAACTGCGCTGCCCAGAGTTCTTTCTATGTTGAAATAAGAGTTGATTAAGAATAAACGCAAGTTTCGCGCGGGTCATCCCTGAACCTTTTTGTTTAGATAGCAGAGTTTTCCCAAGAGTTAGTATTCTTAATTAATAAAACTGGAATCGTAACCGAATAATTCAAGTTAATCGGGTCGCTAATCAAATGCCACTAATCAGACGAATTCACCCGACGGAACCCGAGTTTCTCAATAGAGAAAAAACGCGACGCCCAACGGGAAGGGGAGGGGGAGCACGCGCGGGCAGAGCCGCTTCATTGCTTACTGTGCGGAGGGTCGGCCGTCAGCAGAGGAACATCTCCGTCCGCGGCGGCGGCACGAAGGGAGCGGCCCAGCGAGCACCGCGGGGCGAAGTCCACCCGGCTGGGGGCGCCACCCGCAGGTGGGGCGGGGCCCGGGATGCCCCCGCACCGACCGAGGGGAGCGGGTCCGCCCGACACGGACTCTGCAGACGGGCACTCGCGCGTTTCTCAGGAGGGCTGAAGCCGCCCGCGGCGCATCCCGAGCAGCGACAGCCCGGCGGCCGCAGCTCGACACGCGCACCACCGTACCGAGCCGCACCTGTTCTAGAGCCGCCCCGCTCGTATCCGAGCACGGGCCCACACCTGCCCGTTGCAAGTAGAGCCGGAGCGCGGCCGAACCTACCTGGGAACGCGGCTCCGCCCACCCCTACTCTCCCGCGGGACGCGCCGAGTTCGCCTCTGCTGCCGCGCGGTCCCTTTAAAGGCGCGCGGTGAAGTCACGGGGCCGCGCGCCGCGCTCCCCTGAGAGCAAAACAAGAGGCACGCGCCGGCAGGGGGCGGGGCGAGGCGGGCGGGGCGGGACCTGGATGCGAGCGCCAATGAGCGAGCCGCCCTGGCCTCGCCCCGCCCACCAACGAGCCCTGGCCCGCGGGCCCCGCCCGTCGTGGCGTCACGGTCTCCGGTGGGGATCCGCCCGCGCGGCCGCCGCACGAGAGCTCGGCCCGGCCTGAGGATGAGGGAAGGGTCGGCGCTGCCCGGCGCCCCCGGCGCCGCACCGGTGCCCGGCTTCTTGGCGAAGCTGTGGGCCCTGGTGGAGGATCCGCAAAGTGACGACGTCATCTGCTGGAGTCGGGTGAGGGCGGCCCCGGGGCAACGGGAGGCGGCGGCGGCGGCGGCGGCGGTGATCTGGGAGGCCCCGCGGGGAGCGAGGCCCCGGGGGAGGCGGCGGCGTGCCGGGCCGGGCCAGCCGGGCCAGCCGGGCCGGGAGCGCTGGCGCGTGGCACGTGGCGCGAGCGGGGCCCGGAGCGGTTCCGTGCCGCGTCCGGGCCGCACCGCGCGGCGATCGGAGCGGAGCGGCGCTGCGTCTGAGCCGCCAACGGCGCTCCGAACCCGTTAACTTTAATTTTTCCTCTCGTGCCGCCGAGAGCCTCCAGGCGGGGACGCCGCAGCCGCACGCGGACGCGAACGCCCGCGGCGTTGACTTTCGCTCCGTGTCCTTTTCTAACGCGTATTTTTTCCATTCGTTTCTCCGGATGTCGGCCTTTAAAAGGCGAAGGTGAAGAGATCCGTTCGCTCCCCGTCGCGGCCATACGAACCACGAGCTCCATCCGGCCCGCGCGGTGCGCTCCGTTCGCCCCGTACCGCCGCCGCCCCGCTCTGCCCCCGGGTATTTTTAGCGGTGACGCCGCGCGGCCTGAGCGCCGTTTGCCCTTCGTGTGCCGGGATCTGTTTTAGAACGATTTTTTTCTTTGGCTCGAGGCCAAAGTTCAGACTTTGAAAAAAAAAAAAATAAAAACAAACAAACCAACCAAACCGCAATTCCAGAGCAGTGTTCCCTGAAAGGCTTTTTTTCCCCCGATCTTTTTTGTTACGATCTGGAAAACTCATTAAGTCCCCTCAGGCGGTGCCCTTTGGTGTGTTGTGCCCATGGTGCCGTAGGAACTGGCTCCAGCAATGATCCTGGCATCAGAGCAGCGCCTCAGAAATGTTTGTTCTCACTGTTACTGTCCCTTATTTCCCAGAATGGTGAGAACTTCTGCATACTGGATGAGCAGCGGTTTGCCAAGGAGCTGCTCCCTAAGTACTTCAAACACAACAACATCTCCAGCTTCATCCGACAGCTCAACATGTGTAAGCATCAGCTGCTGTGCATGCATGTTTGTGTTGCTTTCTCTGTTGAAGCAGCGTTAATCCCACCGACGGCTCAAGCTGGACCGAGTCTCCTTTTTATATTTTCTGTGCCGTACTCGTGAGCATCACATACTGCCTGTTCTGTGAGATGTGCACAGTGTGTGCAGGCAGTGGAGTCAGAATGAGGTGGCAATCTCAAGTCAGTGCAGTGTGCGGAGCACAAAGAGTTGGTTTGGGGCCAGGTGAAGGTGCAGACTGCGCAGGAATTGGCTGCCTTTGAGTAAGGGGGTTAAAAGTGATTGAGTGAATCCTTCCCGGGAAAGGAGAGGATCTGGAGGACACTGTTTGCATGACATGTGAAGAAACAGTTGTCAGCAGTCTCATAACGCAGTTAAATGATAAAATACAAATATTCATATGAAGGTATGCAGTGGGGTGGCAGCCTCCTCATGCTGCTTACACTGAGGTTTTCTCATGATAGTGCCTTTGGGGCGCAGCGAGGCTGGAACGTATCAATTGTGTTAAGAACTTGAGTGAGAAAAGATACACATTGGTCTGGTAACTAATTTGCATCATCCTTTCGGTATTTAAAGCAGTGGTGGAAATAGAGCCTTATTTCATGGAGACAGTCTGGGGTGGAAGAAGTGGTTTTTGTGCCTGATTTGTTGCTGTAGGCGGAGGACTAATTTCTCTTCCTTTTAATATTCCATAGACTCTGGTGGGATACAACAGCATTTGTTTTGGTATGCAGTTGCCTGAGTCTATAGGGATGAAAGGGAAGGTGGGACATACTGTCCATTCCTCATTTTATGCGAGGTGTCCTAGGAAATCTGCTGACTTGCTTCTGTGATTATTTGGACTGTCTTGCTTCCAGGACTAGCAGGCCGGTGCCATGCATGCTGTTTGTAGATCATTTGGTGGTGTGGTAGGTCGGTGTGTTCCCTGTCTGTGGTGATCAGAGCAGTGAAGTGGTTGAGCACTGAAAGGAGGCTCCTGCTTCCAATAGCTGTGTAGCTGTAGGTATTTCAATAGCTTTGTGGTTTTCTTTAGCTCTGTTTTGTAACAGTGAGCTTTACTTTAGAAGAAATGATTTTATTTCAATCCCTCTCCACAGATGGTTTCAGGAAGGTGGTTGCTTTGGAGAATGGTATGATTACAGCAGAGAAAAACTCAGTCATTGAGTTCCAGCACCCTTTCTTCAAGCAAGGAAATGCACATTTATTGGAAAACATCAAACGCAAGGTACAGTCTAAGCATTTATTTACTTCACTGTTATTGTTATGAAAAGAAGTTTATCTAGAGCAATTCTGAGCGTTTCAAACACTTTACAGCCAACAAATTCCTGGAGAACCAAGGCTGTGCACTGGCAAGCCTTAGCAGCTCCCTCCTGAATGCCACACTAATGCTTGGCTTGGCCTCCTCCTGTCAGCTCTTAAACAAAACGCACCCTGTTGTTGTCTAGCAACACACAGGAGGTCTACAGCTTTTATCAGTGGCACAGACTCTAGCTGGTGGTGCACCTCTAGGGTCAATACTGAGTCCAACTGTGTTCAACAGTTCCATTAATGATAAAGGTGGTGTGGATGCAGCACAGGCAGCAATACTCAGCTCACATAAATTATTTTTTTCCTCCAACACCATTTTGCTAATAAGCTACTTTTTTTGCAAGCACTTTCTAGTTTTCTTTTGTGTATTTGGCCTTGTCTTAACTGCACCTGCATGCATATATTTTCTCTGCTTGCACGTTACAGCCCATAATATCCTGGCTGCCAGAGAAAGACACTACCATGATACATCTTGTTGACATTTGAACTTTGGAGTTCTTTCTTTAGAGTGTCATAATGTGGTGACTGCAATGCCCAAGTTAATAAAAGCAGAGAGTAGGCTTGAGGGTTAGCTAGAGTCACAATTGTGTTTTGATTGATTCTTTGCTGAACTCTCTGCTCAGAATCTCAGTTGATCAAATATGGTAGCAGTTTCTCTGACACAGACCTGTGCTCTTTGCAGATGCCATAACTGCTAACTTGTCCTAGCTTGCACACCTTCCTTTCTGGTATGCTGACAGTCAGTGCTGGCATTACACATGGCACTGTGTATCCCATGGGTGTTGCACTGGGTGGAGTACTCTAGATGAGAAGACAAAAGCACTATTTAGTGCCAAAGACATTCATGTAAATTCTGGTGAAATATATTCTTTGTTGCACAGGAAATGTGATTTTTGCAATGGATAAAACATCCGTTAGCTTTTCTTATGCTTTACTGCCTGGAATGGAAATGTATTTCAGCCTCAAACAGGAGTGTGTCTGAATGCAGGACTTCCTTTCTTTACTCATTTCACTGTTAGGGCTAGGATCTCTGTTCGTGTGACTCAGTCTTGACATCCTTATTATATAGTCACAAACTTGGAAGAAAGCTGTTCCTCGTATTTGGCAGAACGTTTTAGTTTGGCTTTCCCTCCAAGAGGCATTCTGACTGCATTTGGTACTTGCACCTACTGTCTGCATCCTTTGGGTATCCTTCCCATGAAGGGGTGTTGTGCTGAAGAGGAATCAGGTTTTCATTTGGGGTGCATAAAGTATATTAGCACATGGTGCTATCTACAACAAATAGTAAAGCATCCAAAACTGCAGACAGCGAGAACTGTCAGGCCGTTCAGTGCATCCTTTTGAACACTAGGCTGTGTTAAGAAAACAGTTATTTCTGCAGAGGGATAGTGCTGTAGAATCTTACAGTTGTTTGAGTTGGAAGGGACCTTTAAGAGTCGCCTGCAGTGCACAGGGATGGGCACAACTCCATCACTGCTCAGAGCCCCATGTAGCCTGACCTTGGCATGGGGCATCCACTCCTCTCTGAGCAACCTGTGCCACTGCCTTGCCACCCTGACTGTAAATAACTTCTTCCTTATGTCCAATTAAATCTTCTTTTAGTTTGAAGCCATTTCCTTTTGCAGACCTTGCTAAAGAGTCTGCCCCCTTCTTTCTTACAGCCCCCACTAGATACAGAAAGGCTGCTATCAGGTCTCCCCAGAGCCTTATGAAGGTAGTTATGTGTGCTCTAACATCAAAATGCAGTGACCACACGTAATACCCGGTGGATTTGTGTGCTTTGGAAAACATTTGCTGCTTGTCTGCCAACCAGCAGCAGGCACTGTGGACTGTCTTTACCAATTGCTGGGCTGCCTTTTAGCTTGGTGAAGGATGTTGTACTTTGAAACAGAGTCGAAATGCTGAGGAAAAAGCATGAGAGGTAACAGCTAGCTAGTTGAGCTGGAGTGGACAGGCAGATCTTGCAGTGACAGCTTTTGGGAGATCTGTGTGAAACTGTAAAAGTCTACTCCTCAAACTAGTATAGAAGAGCTAATATAAGAGCGTTGTTAGAAGCAGGAGCAATTCTAGCACAGAATTCCATAATGCTATTGTGTCATCACACAGTGATGGGACACTATTTTACAGCACTGTAGGTCAATTTTGACCAATGAATACCAATTTTAATTTAAAAACAGTGGGAATCTGTGAGCCAGCCTGCACGGAAACAGTAGGCTTCCACATCTCCTGGATTTTAACAGAATAAGTGAAATGAGAGCACACTGTTAGGTTGGAAGAGAGATCTGGTGATTACCTGCTCCAACTTCATTTGATTTCATTGCAGTCTGTGTTTGGCTAAATAGTTTTTAAATTATGCCTACAAAACCTGTGCGTACCATTCGTAAGTGATGAGACCTGTTATTTTGTAACTTGTGTATAAAACTTGTATCTATTATTTTAGAACTTGAACTATTTATAAGCCATTAATGGCACCACTGCAGCCTTACGGAAGGAACTGGAATGTTTTAGATATGGAACTGTGGAGAGGAGAAACTGAACTCCTTGCTATCTGATAGCTCTTCTACCCTCATTGAAGAGATGGCATTTAGAAGTTTTGCTGTGGGTAGAAAAGCAGTTTTGGCTCTGACTTTTGGAGGACAAGTCTGCAAAGTCTTGGAATGTCACTGAGAGGTAGAAGATGAAGCAGTGCTTTAGGAATCTGCAGTTCACCAGCTGTAAGACAAATTTTCCAGTCGTGTAATTAGGCGCCTGCATTTTTTCCTTAGTAACTTCGTGGCGCTTTGCTGTTCCTGTGCTAGCAGGTATGCCCACGCCTGCAAGGAATGTGACCATTCCCTCCTTACTGCTCCACAGTCCTTTTGGTTTTGCCTTACCTTTTGACACTAGGGGGCAAGCGTTCACCAGGCCTGGCAGGGAGAATCCCTCAGTAGAGGCCATTTTCAATCAGTGCTTTGGATTTTAGCTTGAACTGTGATGGTGTTTTCGTTCACATCTTGTTTATTTTCAGACAGTCGAGACTGTTGTAAGGGCTGTCATCTTTATCAGTTGTGGTATTTTGTGATGTGTTGGAGTTAGTAATCTTAGCCAATCTTTTAATGAAATTTATGCCCTTTCCACAGCCTAACTGCACTGCTCATTTACAAGGGTGCATAAAAGGCTCTGTTCTTAGTAAAGCATGTATAACTTGGACTTATTGTAGGTGTCTGCAGTAAGAACTGAGGATCTCAAGGTCTGTGCAGAGGACTTACACAAAGTACTCTCTGAAGTCCAGGAGATGAGAGAGCAGCAGAACAACATGGACATCAGACTGGCTAACATGAAGAGGTACCACCTGCTGAGGGAGCACTTAGGCACTGAGTAGAGTTTACATGTATTGGAGCTTGGCTAAATACGTGGTTTAGTTGAACTGCAAACAGGTGAAACTGTTTTTCCTAAGAATCCTCATTACATGGCACACAGCATTCTGAATCTTGTATGTTTCCATAATGCAGTAGCAGACCAGAGATTCAAACTGTGAGTTTCTTGGCTATCTTCAGATTTGCTTTTGGTTGCCATCAACTGTAGTAGCTTTTTAGGGTATCAAAGCTTTTCATCTTCTAAACACAAAACAGGGGTTGATGCAACTAGAAGTAACATTGGGTTTTCTTCCTGACTGGAAATTAACTTTGTTTCCTCATTTTCTGTTCCTTCGTGTGCTTTTTGTATGGGCAATGGTAACATGCCCAGATCACTGGCACGCAGGTGGGTATCAACCAGAGCTCAGGGCATGCATACACTCCACCTCCTCTTTGGTTTTGTGTTTTATGAATCATTTGAAACCATTCCGATGGGTCTGTGTTGCACTTAGCCTGTTTCCAAACACCATGTCCTTACTCTAAGACTTTGAAACGAGGAGTGCCCTCAAAACAAGATTATTAATGGAACAGTGAAAGATTAGAAGGTGCCATTAGTGAGCTTTTGGTCCTGCTGGAGGAAAAACAGGGTTAGTTTAACTCGGAGCTTACAGCAGTGAATTTGATGAACCAATTGTTAGTTACCCATGGAAAAAATGTTGCCATTGGTCCTGCAAGGTACTGTGAAAGTTTGAAAGCTGTGAAACTAAATCATATAAAGTAAACTCTGTTCATCCTCTGTCTTCTGATTTATTCTGCATTGCAGAGAAAATAAGGCCCTGTGGAAAGAAGTGGCAGTTCTAAGGCAGAAGCACAGTCAACAACAGAAGCTGCTGTCTAAGGTACCATTGCAGCATCTTCAGTGCTACCATCCTTATTCCTGCCTCTGTGATACCTGACGGCATTCTTTGCTCATGTAGAATGACAAATGACACAGAGCTGAACAGGCTATATTAATACAGCATAACGAAAATGTTCACAGTTCCTGAGTGTCCAAGAAGCAGCGCAGCAAAGCAAAATCTAAAGAAAATCTTAGTGATAAGAATTTCAATTCAGTGACTCGTATTTGTAGAGAAAGCGGAGAGTCAAGGCAACCGGGGTACAAGTGGGGCTGGAGGCAGTGTAATGGGAACTAAAGGGAGAGACTGCAGGCACACGGGGTGGAGCCTGTGAGGGCTCAGGCAGATCTGCCAAGAAGTCGGTGTGGAAGCTATAGGAGTTGCTGCACTGGATCGGGTTTTCTCTGGTTTATCCCTCAGCTGTTTCTGATCTGGAATCTTCCATAGTGACCTGTGGTATTTTCTTACACTTGAAAAAAAAGAACTGTCCAAATGAGACCAAATGAGATGGTTTTTCAGTGCCTTCTGTAACTATCATTTTGCTTTTTAAGATAAGGGCATGAATGGCTATTTAATTTACTTGCTAATTTAAATCATAAAAGCTAAGTCTGAGTTAATGTGTTAGTATCCACGTTGCCAAGCTGATCATTTGTTTTTGGCTTTTTGTTTTTCCTTTTTAGATTCTTCAGTTTATACTAAGTTTGATGCGAGGAAATTATATTGTTGGGGTCAAAAGGAAAAGGTAATTACTGGATAGGGTCACAAAGCAGCATCCAGTGTGCATTATGGAGATGAATCAACTTCTAGAAGCAAGATGCTTTTCTTGGGGTGTATAGAGAATATTGTTATCACTGTTGTGTTCTTTTATTCATACTTGAGAAAAGTGGAAGAAGTTAAAAAAAGCATGGATTTCTTAAATCAAAAATGAATAGGATGAGAAGACAGTACAGTATATGTTCTATGTTTTGAAGGAAAAAGTTGCAGAAATGGTAACTCTTTTTTAAAAAAAAAGTGCCAGTGTTACTGATTCACTACAAAACAAAAAGTGTACTTAGACTTTGGTCCATCTGCAGTCTCTTTATTAAAAGTTATGTCAAAAAGCTGGTTTTAGAAGTGGATGAGTAATAGTTCTTACTGCTCCTGCACATGTCTAGCATTACTGCAGCTGTTTACTGCAGCAGGATCCACTAACGTTGTACTTTGTCTCAGGTCTCTGACAGATGCTGCAGGTGCTTCACCTTCCAAGTACAGCCGTCAGTATGTCCGCATACCTGTGGAGAGTGGCCAAGCAGTAAGTCTGTGCAGGGAAAGAGGGCCCGAGTTAGACAAGGTGCTGTACAGTGCCCTTGAAGTCTTCCTCACAGCTTACTTCCTTGCTTCCTTATAGCTGGGGCTATTTTGAAATAAATAGACCAATTTAAAACACTGCCCTATGCAGACTATACAGTCTGTAAATGCAGACTATACAGTCATGCAAATCAGTACAGCTTGGTGTAGATGAAATCTGAATGGGAAATGGAAGCTGCAAGAGAAGAGAGTAAACATTTTAGAAACAACAAAATCTTTTTGTTTTATTCATTCTGTTTGATATATCATATCCTGCAGATGGCTTTTTCTGAACGTAATTCAGATGATGAGGATGGAAATCGTACAGGTCTCATCATCCGAGATATCACTGATACCCTGGAAAATGCCACCAATGGTCTCCTTGCTGTAGCACACACAAGTGGCAGAGATAGGTACGTGTAAGGATGTGACAGACTTATGCTTAACTTGTTAAGTGGTTATGTTAGTGTAAGTTAAACATTGTACAGGATAGAAGGACCTGGCACTGCTGCCCTTGAGCTGCAATGCCCCATCCCTGGAAGTGCCTGAGGCAGCCTGAGCTGAGGGCAGCCAGCCCACAAAGGGCTGGGGGTGGTTGGGCTTTAGAGTCCCTTCCAACCCAACCGTGCTGTGATTCTTTGGTATGATTTCTGGCAACCTGCTTTTGTCTGTTCAACAAATAAACATGTCGCTTTTTGACCGAACAAGGAACTGAATGCATTCATTGTTTACAGATAATGCAAAACTTATGATTTTATCTCTGATTTCAGTACTGTTGTGGCTAATATTATGTTAAATGCACTGGAGGGGAAGCAGTCTTCTTTTTGTGATCTCAGATTATTGTGGAAAACCCATTCAGTTGCTAACCTTCAGAGTAAAATATAGACCGGTTTGGAATCTTATATTTCTAGACACAGTGTTGTGAGTTTCCCTACCACCATGTGTCCATGTGGCCTTCTGCCCTCTTTGGTCTGTCAGAATCTCATTATTTGAAGTCAAGAACATTCTGTACCTTCTTTTTAAGAACTCATTACCAATCTAAAGAGTTGCAGAGCCGGCATTTGGTCACCATGCTGGAAGAAGAAAGCTTTTAGATTTTTCTAAAAAAATTACAATGCAAATGGAACCTTTTAAAAATTCACAAATTTTCTTTGGATTTATCCTGTGTAGAAAGTATGAAAGGCACAAAGGTGGAGCTCTTGTTTCTAAAAACTGAGAAAGCTTGACTTTTAATTTATAAAGGGGGGTAAGAAGAAAGATATAGAGAGATTTTTATAAGAGCCTCTAGTGATAGCATGAGAGGCAATAGTTTTGAACTAAAGAAGGGTAGATTTAAATTGGATTTGAAAAAGAGTTCATGCAGTGATTAGGGTGTGGGATGCTGGAGCAGGTTGCCCAGAGAAGTTGTGGATGACCAGTGATGGAAGGCGTTCAAGGTCAGGCTGGGCAGGGCTGCTGAGCAGTGTGCTGCAGTGGGAGGTTTGGGCTGGGGATCTTTGAAGATGTCTTCCAGCCCAAACAGTTCTACCAATCGGGGTAAAGGGGATGTTCAGTGCTGACTGAATTAGCCTTAACAAGTGATCCTTCACTTCCCTTTAGGAAGGCACTTAGCTTATTTTTTAAAAAAGCGGTTGGTTATTTGAGCCCTTGCTGAATTTGACCTCACTGGGCATTAAAATATCAAATACTAAATGTGTAATGAGCAGTGACACGGTTGATGAATTTTCCTGTCTTGTTTCTCTTTGGGTCACGTTCTAGAGAGGCGCAGACAGCTCTGGATCCCGGCTTACCGATTTGTCAAGTATCGCAGCCCAGTGAGTTAAGTTGTGCAGAACCCATCCCCCCAGCTCATATAAATGATGTCAGCAAATCCAGTGAAGTGGGAAATGCTGCTGTAGAACTGCACACTGCACAAGCTAATGCTGCAGAAGACCCTGTGTCAGTGATTGACTCCATCTTGAACGAGAGTAACTCTGGAAACCAAAATGATCCTTTACTGGACAGGTATTAACTCCCCTCTTCAGGTGTCCTTGTACGTGTTGGGAAAAGAGTTGGACCATTAAATTGATACAGGACTGTGGTTTTGTTCATCTGGCAATAAACTGTTCTGGATTATGAGTAATACAGTCTTGCACTCTGCTTATCCAACAGCTGTAATAACCCAGAAATTAACACTTCTCACTTCTAAGAGGTTTTTCCTGCCCTGTGGTGCAATAAAGGGCCCTAAGTGCTGACTGTTTCTTACACTGTACTGTATAATTTTGTCTTTCTTAGAGAAGAAATTCAGGATTTTCTTAATTGCATTGATGCCAGCCTTGAAGAGCTTCAAGCAATGTTATCTGGGAAGCAGTATAGCTTTGGTTCTGAAGCTTTCAGCGATGTAAGTGTCTTCTCATTTATTCTGGTGTCTGATACTGGTTAGGTTGCTTTATGAGATTTTACAGATTTATTCCTTGCTGTAGTGATCAAGTGAGAAGAAAATCCTGAAAGGCGAATAGTTATGGATAGAGTGGTGCGTAGTCATGCAAGGAGGGTAACGAAGCACGAACCAATCTGGAGAGCCATTCTCAGTTCATGCAGTGCTGTCATCATGTAGAGCTCCTGTGAGCTCAGTTAACTGCCACAGGGCAGAATACATTGCAGTAGACCTGCAAGTGAGCCACCATCCCTGTGCTTGCATGGGGGGATGCAGTGGAATTGCTCTGAAGTTTTGCTTTAAGAACCTTATTATGTGATATACTCTCCTATGTATGATCTGGTTCTGCTTTCAGGTGTTTAACCCTGAACTGCCAGCCCTGGATATGAACTTGATGGAAACTTCCCCTGGTATGGAAAATGTAAGAGTAAGATTTGCTCCTATGATGGGGAGGGTTAAAATGTTATTGGAAGTTAAACTTTGACTGATGTAAATTGAGGGTAGGGACTGGGTTGAGATTGATAGCTCAGGATGAAACTACCATTTTCTCTAATCTGGGTGATTTAATGCTTTCTGTTATTGCCGTTGGCATACAGGAATTTAAGAGGATTCTCAAAAGAGTTTCATGTCTTATGGTGCTGCCACTTGGCTTAAAATAAGGTATTCATTACTTTATAATAATCTGAGAACATAAGGAAGAAGAAAACTAATGGTTGCTGAATCAGCTGTCTGTGTTGAGGAACTTTTTTTTATTCCTATCTGTTACTTCTGTATGATCTGTTTAGAAAGAGGAGGTCAGAAAATCTTGTCATTTTCCAGTATGTGTGAGATGAGTTTCTTGGCTTGCTGTCTTTTAGCCAAGTAATAACAAGACCTGGGATTGTAGTTCAGGTTGTGTGCCTGCAGTCTATCAGAAGGCTGAAGGAAAGGGGTTTTTTTGTGTTTTTTTAAAGGAAAAAAACAAGAATACAGGATGCTGTATTTATTCTGAGCATGGCTCAATAGAACTTCCTGAGAGGACATGTAGAAGCTCAGTGTAATTTTCCTTTTCTGGGCCCTGTTCCTAAGATTGTTTCACATTATTAAAGGACTCTTGCATTGTTGTTTATTTTGTAGCCTATAAATAATTTTTAAACTAAAATTTCTTGCCATAACCACCATTGAGGTAAAATGCTGCTGTGCTCAAGCAGTGTTTGCAAAATTTCATTGTACAAATGAAATAATGTTTAGCTGTGTTATTCCAACAAGGCAAACTTCTGGTAGGGAGAAGTAAATATTGGCTAATGAGAAGATTGGTTGCTTTTGGTAAGATAACTTTGTCTGTAGTTCAGTGTCTTCACTAGCCTTTATCTCCAGTAATGGGTTTGTCAGGTCAGTTTACATTGGTCAGCTGTTTAATTCCTCTTCCCTCCTCCTTTCACCATTGATGTTGCTAAGCAGTCAGTAAATAGCCAGATATTTTTGTTAAGCATTCTGCTTTATTCTCTGTCCTTTGTGCTTCAGATTGCAGACATGGGAGACAGCACTGAACATCTGGGAGGAAGTGATAGAGAAACAGCAGGAAGCAAAGGTGGGCAGGAGGGAACAGAGCTGTGACAGTTCCATACTCTTCCAAAACTGCGTATGGAAATGGAATTTTTTCTAGCCTGTAACGTGGCTCATTTCCTTCTTTGGCGTGGGCTTAGAATGTGAACGACGACTGGGATTTCCTTGATCTTAATGAAGCTGTACCTCAGTTTTACAAACCCTGTTCTGTTTCCCATGTTAACTGTTCCTCTTTTCTTATGTGTGACAGAGTGCCACAGTAAGGAGAAGAACTGCAAATGCCATTGTGGAGGTATCTCCTACAGGGCTACAACCCACATAAGTGCAGTGCAACTCACTTTACTACTTCAGTGATGCCAGTGCATGCAGTGTTTGTAGGGACTTGAAGTGTGTTTCAGACATTGATCTTAAAAGACACAGGAGCCTTAGCTGCAGGCCTTACTCTCTTGCACCTGCTGGTGTAATCTGTCAGAGCTCAGCTGTGCTTTTCTTTAGCAAACAAAGTTTTGAAGCAGCCCTTCCAATTTTCCTTGCCTTGAGTAAAAGACTTCACTTACGTACTGTAGGAGCCTGGAGTTTAAAATGTTTGTTTTCCCTCAGATATGCAGCTGATACAGTACAGGGCCAATCCTCTGCTTTCGTTGTTTGAAGAGCTGCCTTCTGGTGAAGCTGGTGGGAAGACAGAGGATCCAAAAGACCTCCTCCTGGCCCCCCTGGAGGAAAAACCTGCTCTCCATCCTCCTTCAGGTGGTGAAACAGTCTTGCCACTGGCAGTTCCAGCAAACCAGGCTGAGCCCCCAGTGGACACTTTGGGAATGGGTGATCCGCCTCTCCTCTCGGAAGATGGAAATGGAGAGTATAAGCTGTTCCCACTCCTGCTCCTCAGTCCTGTTGCTAGCTTCATAGAAGAAGCCTCTGAGATAGAAACTTCCTGAACTCACATCTGTAACTGGCCTAGTGGTGTGAATTAGACAGCAAAGATAAATGGATCAATGAGAAGTTTGATCTTCTCTCTCCTCTCCTTCCTCCTGAGTGTTGTATTCTGTATCAACTAAAGAAAGTTCTCTTTCTGTGAGCGAAGAGCACATGTGGGAAGGCTGAAAAAAGCTCTCAAAGAAGAGCTATAAGATTGAAGGCACTGGGAGGAGGGAAGGACAGCCTCCCTGTGCACATACCACAGTGTATTTCATAACTGTTTTTATCTGATATCCTTATTGCAAAAGGAAAGCTGTTTGTATCCTGTTTGTAAAGTTTGGCTGTTTGTTTTTTTTGTTTTTATCAGCTATACAGTAATGTGGTGTGTAATGTTTTCCACATGGGTTTTATTCTTTCTGAGGTGCTTCAAGAAGTATCTTCTGATTGGAATTCAGAATTATTTTGTTGTTGCTGTTGGTTTGGGGTTGTTTTTTTGTTGTTTTTTCTTTTTTAATAGTTTGTGGCTACAAATGTTTGCATCGGCTTAAATTACTTTCCTATTCCTAGATTTGCTCCTAGGTACAGGGAGAATTTTTTCCTATGGAAAATGACATTTTAACTCTGGCGTGTGACTTTTTAACATGCTAACACATCCATTGCCACGGGTTGTGGGCGTTGCAGTAGAAGTGCTTTGCCACCGTGCGTAGTGCTGATCTCATGCACATTGCATGGAGGCTTTTCCAGAGTGACCTGCACCCACCACATCCATCGCCTTCCTCGGGAACTGTGAGTAGCACTGAGTCAGGAGATGTGCAGCAAAGTCCAGCCACTGTCCTTGAAAGAAGAACACAAAAAAGTGACGGGTAATTTGCAGTGGTGGGACGTCACAGTAAGATTTCTCTTCTGCTTGTTTACCTGACCCTCTGTAGACATTGGACTTTTTCCTGGATTTTCTGCCTGTTGTATCTTAAAGCTCAATCAACCGAATGGATTGATAGCGAATTCCAAAAGCTGCTATCAGCTTCATCTGAAAATTTTCCCCAAAATTCCCTCCTGCACCGTTTTCTTCTCTCCTTTGAACAGCTGTGACAGACATTGCCTCTTATCCCTCCTTACCGGTAGGAGAAGTGCTCCTTCACCAGCACAGGCTGGGAGGAGCCTATCCACAGCTCACAGAAATCCGAAATTTGCCACAGCCATCCACAGCTGCGGGAGCTGGGAGAGCCCTGGGGGCAGGCAGAAAACTGGCTGCGTGATTCTCGCTGATTCTTTCAAGTAGCTGCAGTGGTAGGAGACATTTCTCAGTGTTAGGAAGTCAGTCCAATTACAGGCTTTATTCTCTCTGGAGTTTCTGAACTAATAAGATTTGGGTTCTTTTTATGTGGAAGAATCCAAGTTGTTTTGATATGCTGAAGCCTGGATGATGCCCATTATCTGCGCTGACCCTGCTAAGTTAGATTTGTGCTTCGTTGTCAGATCTTCCCCACCGGAAAGGAGGACCTCGCTACTGCGTATGTGCACACCTCGAACACCTTCAGTGTCCTTTCATTCCCCTGCTTATAACTGTTCCTTATGTCTGTGATCCCCTTTTTTTTATTACTTTCTCCCAAAAGCCTTGATTTTTTTTCCGAGAGTAAGACAATACAGAGCAAGCTTTTCCTCAGTGCTGCTGTGACAGCGCAGTGCGGGTCACAGTTCTGTGGGGGGCTGATCTGTAACCTCCATTGCCTGAGCAGGTGAGACTTGAAGAGCAGCGCTGCAATGGAGCACTGTCATATTCTTCCACGATGGAGTCTGCTCTCACTGCGTCTCACCATCAGGTGTTTGACTCAATTGCAGAATAGTTTTTAAACACACTTTGTCTCTTAAGAAGAAACCGAGGCTTAGGAACAATTTGTGAATCTGCGTCTGGTTTGTGTTCTGGCCTAGGAAATGGGTATACTTGCTACTTTCCTAACAGGGATTGCAATAGAAGATAAATTAGCAAGGAAAAAAAGTACAAATTAGTTGAACTAATTAAACTATGGAATTGCAAAACCCAAACTGTGATTCTTGTGCATCCTTTTTATGTTCCTCTGTGCATGCTGATACATTTCCCAAACAGTTTGCTGAACTTCCCAGAAGGAAGAGCTTTAAGTTTCACTAGGTCTTGTTATGCCATTGCATAGCTGATGTGGTAAGGCCTTGCTCAGGACTGATAATGCTGTCCTGCTAATTACAGCTTTGCCAATTGACGATTGGAGCTGATGACTGTAGGGGATTTTCCCAGCCTAGATGATCCAATGACTCTGCAATCTCACCCTATAAACAGTGGGCAGCTCGAGAGTCCCTTGAGCTCTAATGCTAACGTGGCTGCATATGACCAACAAGTGCATGCAGCTTATTGCAAATGTGGGGAAGCAAATGGAAATCATTAAACTTGAGGACAGCATTGTTTTGTTACATTTATTTTGTTACACTGTTATCTTTATTTTGCCCATATAGATGATTGTGTGAATGTCTGTGTGTGCCCAGGGGACCTTACAGTGCTCCTGTAAGTGCAGGAATGATGGTGAATCTCTTTGAGTGGGGATATGTTTTGGATGTTATGTTAAATGATGCTCGTCAGCTATGCTTTAGGGAATCAAAGATGCAAGAATTGTTGCTAATCCAATCTGAGAATAAGAATTGGTCAAATGAGACGCTCAGCATGTGAAAGAAATTGAGCTTTGTTATGGAGAGCATAAAAAGTCAATGAAGTCTTACCAGCTTTCTCTACCCAGTGTGGAAGCTGAGTAGGAGAGAAAGATTGCTGCAGTAATACTGCAGGGCATGCAACTATCACCAAAAGGGTTTTACAGAGAGCAACAGAAAAATCATGACTGAACAGTTTGTTAAAACAGCAACATATCAGCAGCACTGAAGCATTCTGGGAAGCGGTTATGTTTTCTTCATGTTTCAACTCTAGATGAGCTTGCAGTTTTTGGAGCCTTGCAGTAAGGGTCTGGGTTTTGGTTTTTTTTTAAGTAATTTTAAACAGTGTGTGCATGTGTTTGGTGGACAGGAGTTGGGAAGGGAACATCCCTGTTACTGAAAAGCAGCCCACCTATCTCATGTCCATCTCAGAAATTTTTGCAGTGAGAATGTGGGTCTCTGGGGCTGTGGTGCTATATGGAGTGTAGCAGAAATGCTCAGCCATGGCCTGAAGCAGTGATGGAGCACCTGGTGGGAAGGCAGGGCCAGCCCAGGGGAGCTCAGGTGCATGCAGTTCAGCTGAGTGATAGATGGGATGGAGCCAGGATCCATCCCTTCCCAGCCCTCATTTAAGGGTTGGCAGTGGAGGTGAGGGTATCTCAATGGGGATCCCTGCCTACCTGAGGTCTTCCAAGGGTAAGCAGTTTTTTTTTCCTTTGTTTCTGTATCTATGGCTGCATTTGGGCTTATCCTCGTTTGCTGCTGCCCTGCTGTTACTGCTGGGCCTTCCATCACACTATAGCTTTACATGGAGCTAGTGGGAAGCAGAGGTGCTCCAAATTCAGGTGGCCAGGTGAACATCTGAGCAAAGAGGCAGATACTATTCATGCTGCTTGGAGAATGGAGGAAAAAGGGCTTATCCTTCCTGCAGGTGGGGTAGTGGGCAGAGCCAACAAACCATGAGATGTGGCACTTCTGTATGAACACAGGAACAATAATGCGATACGCACTGCCAGCTCTTCTCTCCCTGCCTGTGCTTCCACTATTGCTGGCCTTAACCTAGCTAGGAAAGACCATCTGTGCTCTCTTTGAGGCAGTTCTTTTGAGCAGCATAACCCTAGCTCTCGGCATTAACTTGCTTTCCATTCCTCTTTCATCCTTGTTTTCAAAGAAAACTGGATTTTGCCCTGTGTGGAGAAACCTTCCTTGAGGGTTTCAGGCAGTTGGCAATGCAAAATAGAGACTGGATCCTAACCCAGTGTGGGATACCTCTGGAGATAAGAGCAGCTGCTGCGCATCTCATGCGGCGCAGCTGGCAGCAGGCAGTGAGCCTGCAGGGAGACGAGCTGAGGTTAAGGCAGATCGTCCCACAGAAACATTTGTGTTTTCTGAACGGTTCAGACAGCCTCTAAGGAGTCACTAAAACAGGAACATGGAAGGAGCAAATACTGTGATAGCAGTGGGGCTACCAAAAGCAATGGTAACTGGTGAGTGTGAAACCTGTAGGTATAGGGAGGATTTGATCCCTGCGTTTTGCACCCTTAGGTGGCACAAAGCAGGAAATGCACACTCAGGTGGCTTCACACATCCAGGATCCATTGTTAGTGCTAGGAACCATTTGTTAGAGTTTGGCTGAGCTCATAGGTGGCCCAGAGCTGATGTCAATGACCTTGGAATTTCTAGGAAGGGAAGTTAATTTTCAGGAAGATCATTTGTGTATCACTCTTCTGTTGCATGACTTGAGCCTTGAAGGAAATGCTCTTTAACACTAAAATTCTGTTTTGTCAAGTAGAACAAAGGCCATGTTTTCTTGACTGTACAGTTCTCTGGTAAGTGTGGGGAAAGCTGATGTGATGCACACCGCAGTAAAGTCCCATGCAGTTAGCTTCTGTGCACCATCCAGGAATTATTTCCACTCTGTTTAGGCAGTTGGCTTTGGCCTGGCCAAATAAGAACATCTTCTGGTAAAATTGGCTTTTTTTTTTTTTCTTTTTTTTTTTCTTTTTTTTTTTCTTTTTTTTTTTCTTTTTTTTTTCTTTTTTTTTTCTTTTTTTTTTCTTTTTTTTTTCTTTTTTTTTTTCTTTTTTTTTTTCTTTTTTTTTTTCTTTTTTTTTTTCTTTTTTTTTTTCTTTTTTTTTTTCTTTTTTTTTTTCTTTTTTTTTTTCTTTTTTTTTCCCCCCGGGTGCAGATGCTTTATGAAAGCACACTGGGAGCTTTCTATCTTGGTGGTTTGCACAAAGCACTGCTTGCCATCACCTTGCAGGCTAAAAACCCTATTTGCAGCATCAGGAAAATTGCAGCAAAGTTCTCTAACCCTCGGCAGGCTGTTTCAAACCCCGAGGGTAAGGCACGAGCTCTGTAGGTGTGGGCCCTATGGGTGGGCTCTGAGGTCCCATCCGTGGTCACTTTTTGTGAAACATGGACTTGTGCTGCGCTACTTTTTACCAGCCAGAGCTGTAGGAGCAGGAATTGCAGAACAAAGAGCAACGTTGGTGATGCTATCTGAGCTGAGGAAATGATGCTGAGGAGTGTCGTGCCCAGTGTGCAGCAGGAGGATGGGCTCCTGTGAGGGGGACAGTTGCTGGGTGCCTTATTGCCTGGCACTGCAAAGGGAGAAAGCAGTGGATTCAATCCAAAGCAGAGGCACTGAAATATGAGGACATGAAAGGCTTTTTTTTTTTTTTTTTTTTTTTTCTTCCATGCGTTCAGATGCGAAACCACAAGAAGTCTTACAGTAAGAAAGAAATGGGCTGTTGGCATGACTCAAAGGACTCTGGCCGCTGTGTCTCTGTCACAAGGAGAGAAAGATGCAGCGTTGATCATATTTGAGGAACTATAGTTCTTCATGTTTGGTTTAGCTAAGTAGTCAATGTTTATCCTGTACAATTACAGCTTCAGGAAGTCTTGCATGTCCGGTTCAAAAAATTGTCATATCAGCAATTTTAGCTCTTTCCTCCAGGCTGGCCATGCTTGACATGGTTGTACTGCAAATTTTACTGTTGCAAGTTCTGTGGCAGCAATAATCAGAACTCAGCTGAAATCCCATTCCTCAAATCATGCAACTGCAGATGTGCCTCTGCCCAAAGAGCAAAACGAAACCTGCACTGTTTCCATCAGGTTACTGACTTTGGAAAAATGAAGCTGGTCACTGGATTTCATTGCCCTGAACAGAAAGGAAGAGCCGCCCAATGCTGCCCAGCTGCAGCACCTCCAGAGAACGGTCTGACTGCTGCAGTGCAACCAGGACGGATGCCTGCTGTGATGGAACACAGCCACGGCAAAATGAGATAAGCTGCCCTTCCAGCTCCTAGAGAAAATGGCCCCCATATTTCAGACACGTTGGCCCTTGGCTCAGAGATGCCATTCAGTATTTCTTGCAGCCTTTAGACCTCCCATATTGATGCGATTGACTTCTCAGCAGTTTTCCAGGATGCCCTGCTGTTTCTCTCCTTCCATCAGTCTTTTCTTTCCACCAAGAAGTCTATGCAGACAAATCTTCACCAGTGACACAATAGTGAGGGGTGGAGGGGAAATGAAATTATTTCTTGGAAGTACTTCAGTGGGTTGTGTTGAATGATGCAGCTGTTAAAATTAAATGCAAACTGGATGTTAAAAATATGACTATTGAAAAAACATTAAGCAGTAGCTTTAATGAATAGTTGACTGCCTGTAGCATAATTCACCTGGCAGGCTCGCTTTCACATACATTTCTTGTCTTCTGTAACTCCTTCTTTTGTTAATATTAATGAACACAGAATAATTCTGCGTGTAAGACAATCTGTGACTCTCTGAAAATGGGAGCAGCAGGCACTGAACATCTGTTCACCTCTGGGTGTTAAGATCTGCTCTAGCATTAAGTGTGGGTGTCTCTGGGTTGCTGACCTTCGCTGTGCACCTTCCCTTGCTGCCCTGGGAAGTACATCTGCAGCTGCATCACAACAGGGCAATTTCTGGGCAGGTGGGGAAAAATGCAGATTTTTGTGGGGAAATTCATAGTAAAGAGCAGGATGTTGGTGGTTTTTTGTATTTTTTTTTTTAATATTTCTGTTGAATCGGGGGGGAAAAAAAAGTAAAAGTTTTTCTGGTCTAAAAGGCTCCATTAGGCAAAGGAACTACAGCTGTTCCTTTTCCTCATTCAGGCTACAGACTGACCTGCACATCATGTGCTGCTGAAATACTGCATGTGTGTGGTGGAAGAGCACGGTATCATCAGCAAGGAAGATTCCAAGGAAATAACAGAACCCCAGCAGGTTGATCTGTGCCTCATGCTCCTGCCTGACGTGCAGTGAGTCGATGTGCTCACACCTCCCATAGGAAGGCTGCTGTGCTTCGACATCTCTGGAGCCAATTTTGAATGTGATGGAAGGAGATGCTGAGCCGTATCATCACACACGAGTCAGAGGTAGCTGAATTCTTGCTTTTCAAGCATTCTCCAATTTGCTTTCCCTTTTTACTGAGTACTTGATTATGTGGCCATCATAAAGCTCTTTCATTACAAAGTGAACGCAAACGTGGAATAATTGGAAGAAGATGAAAAGGAAAAAAGAAATGTATACAAAACCATGAGGAAAAAAAAATAGAGTATTAGAAAAAGGCAAGAGAAGAGGGTGGGGATGGGATTTGAAATGGAAAGAGACAGAGCCTTGCAATCTTTGGTCATCCTTCACCTCGGTGAGTGGACTCATGATATTTCTAAAAGAAGGAAGGAAGAAGGACAGCAGCACAGCCTGGATCCCAGATGACACAGGGCAGAAGAAAGGGAAGTGTTCTTGACTTGTCTTCTGCTCCAAGAAGTGTGGAGGTCTCTCTTCAAGCATAGGAGGAGGAGAGCGGAGCTGCAGTCCTGGGAGGATGGGAGCAGTGGTGCTGGTGCTGGTGGTGGTGAAGGCTTTTGTTGGCTGCAGGGGTGAGTAACTGCTTCCTTGCATGAGAACTAAAACTAAAGAACTAAGAGGGTAGGAGAATTCTTTTCAATTATGATGTCCTGCTTTTTTTAAAAGTTGTGAAGTGTGGAAAGCCATTAGTTTCTTCTTGAAAAATAGAGCCTGAGAGTTCACAAGTCTCCTTTGGGAAGACTCCTATCAGGGACACCCAGCTGCTTCGAGAGTGCAGCAGACAGGGCAGAGTGAGGCAGGTTGGCTCCATGTGCCACAGCAGGATCAAAACAGGACCTTTCAGGATCCTTGCAGAGGACATGCTGTGATGTGCTGTTACCTTCCAAAACTGTCCTTGTGAAGCTGGAATGTGCACGTTCTTCTAGAATTTGGTAGGTGGATGGTTGGATTGCATGATCTTGGAGGTCTTTTCCAACCTGAGCAATTCTATGATTCCAATTTAATAATGCATCTCCGTTGCTCTGCTAGCGTGGTCCTGGGAAGAAGAAGAGAGATGGCTGTAACTGTGACGATTTATGAAGGCACATAATTCCTCTTGATTACTCCTGATGCCCTGGCTCTCCAGTGCATTAGGAGAGGTGACAGTAGAACCTTGGCTTCAATTCATATGCCCATGAAACATATGTGCTGCTCCTGGGACAGCCTCACTGGACAGAGAGTTGGAAAGAAGGGGAGAACAAATGAAATATCGCAAAGTCCACACCCCCTCCTCCTGTGCCCATTTGAGTCCTGGCAGTGTTTATCTGGCTGAGACAGATACCAACCAAGGAATCCAGGTCAGAGCTGAAGTTCTCCAAGGCTAATGCAAAAAGATTGGGCTTGATCTAGTGTTCCAAATCTGGTAGTCCAGACCAGTAAAGGCAGATACCTGCCTGCATAGTGCTTCCATGCCACCACGAATGCTGGTGCTATCAGGCTAGGAAGGAGGTGCTCAGCTCTTTTACAAATGGACCGGAGTGTAAGAACTCTTTTCTTCTCTTTTTCATGCACTGCTGATGATACAAATCTCTCTCACTACTTTGCTTCTTCCAAACCTGCTCTGCGGGTTTCTGTCTATTCAGCTCTACCTCCCCCATTGTGAGAACTGACACCCTTTTTCTGGAAGTCTCAGGAAGCATCTCAGTTTAATAAGCATCACAGGGAAGAAACGTTTCTTTTAAAAATACCATCTTGGGGATGAATATTTTGTTGGTGCTGTCAGAAAGAAGCTTCCACAGAGCTCAGCCCCAGCAGCTCCCTCAGGTGCCCGTGTGGACAGAGATCCACAGACCCGCTCCACACCCTAAGGGCCCCTCTTGCCGCTCAGAGACAGCAAAGCTGCACAGAGAAGGGCTTCTCCCTGCACGGCTGCACTGCTGCCTCCATGAGCAACAGGGTAGTTTTGTAAGAAGCTAATGATGCTAAGGAGTGCAAACACTGAGTCTTACGTGCACGCTTATTGCAGTGAAACAGTAAATGTGATTTGTTCACCATTCTTCCTGTACAGGGGGTACAGGACAATGCAGCAAGTGGTGCTGTCAGAACAAGCAGTGTCAGCAGTAGAGGGAGAGGCCTCTGCTGTTTGCGTCATCCTGCAAGTATAAGCAGAAAGCCAAGCAGCAGAAGTACTGTGTGAAGGCTGCGGCTAGGGAGCAGGAATAAGAGATGCTCCTGAAGTTCTTGGAAGGCTGCAGCTGTGATGCTGCTACTGGAGGTGGGATTTGTGCCTCTCGGTACTGAGAAGGAATTGAGAACTGGCCAGTGTCCAGAGAGAAGCAATAAGAATAGTCATGAGTTTGATGTAGCTGTTCACTTCCCCATGCTCAGTGAGATGGGGGCAGGCCCAGATTTAGCTGCCTGTGGTCTAGTGCATAACTAAGACGCTACCGCATGCCGGCTTCCACTGCCTCGTGGCTTCTGTTGGTCCTAAGGGATGTTCCCCTCTTCTGCTGCATTTTTGTTTCTTCCCTTCAATTGTTGTTTCTTTGCAGCCCTCCTGGATCTGTCTGGTGCAGCTCAGGTCAAAGGGGTATGGATGGGATCCACCACTATACCATGTACCTACACGCCTTCACGAGGTTTCACACAGCAGGTGCTCACCTGGCGCGTGGAGAGAGACCTCAGCACCTCCACCATCTTTCGGAGGGATGCTTCTGGTGATCACATCCTGTTATCTCGGTTCCGAAACCGAGTCAGTGTCCCAAAGAGCAGCCCAGGGGATGCCTCACTCCACATCACAGACCTCGAAATTCCTGACAGCGGACACTACACCTGTCAAGTCAGCTGGAGGTCTGAAAACTACAGCCTGATAACGAAGGAGGTGACCACTACGGTTAAAGTCACCAAAGGTAATCCAGCAATAAAGCTTTGCTGTTGTATAATCTGCAGAACAATTCGGAGAAGAGGCAGTTCACTCCATTCTGCCTGCCCATATCCATATCGAGTTGGGTGTTGAGGTACCTGGATGGGAAGAGCCTTCTGCTCAGTTCTGTGCGTTCAGGAAGGGATAGCAGTGAGTCTGCACTCACTGTGGTGTGGATCTGCCAGTGGGACACAGATCCAAGTGCACCCAGGACTGGATCTCGTTCTGTGCAGATACCCAATGTCCCTGGCTCTTGTAGCACATGGGAATCATGCTGGCCAGACGTGCCTTCCCCCCTTTCCAAGCACTCTCAGTGCTTGGCAGAGCATCAGCAGAGCAGGCTGATGTGGTGCAGCAATGGCAATAGGTGACACAGCTGGTGCACGTCTATATCCATAGGCACAGCTGCACAGAGCACAACCCAGTGGTGATGTCCTGGGAAAGGACCATGAGGATGGGAATTGCTTTAGTGTGAGGGAAACCTTCCCCCACCACAGCCACCATGACCCATCTGCTTTGTCTTGTAGTGGCTGTGACCAAGCCCACCATTGTGGCTGGAGAGCTGGGGCTGGCTGTGCCGGTGGGAGCCAAGGCTAGCCTGACCTGTGTGGCACAAGGGTCCCCCCCCATCAGCTACCACTGGTTCCGCATGGCACCAGGCAGGAGTGGGCAGCTCCTGGGCAATGAAGCTGAGCTGGTGTGGAGCAGCCTGCAGCCCTCTGATGCAGGGGTGTACTACTGCGAGGTGAAGAACAGGGTCAATACCCAGATGGTGCAGCGCAGTGATGCTGTTGAGCTGACAGTGAGAGGTGAGTCCCAGCTCTCAACTCCTCACTGAGGCAGACACAGAGGGGTGCAGGGTTTGGGTGCATAATGCCAAATGCGGATCGTGTCCTGCCTGCTCCAGAGCGTAGCAGGTCAGGCAAAGCCCAGGAGATGGCACCCAGCCCCTGGCAGCATGGCTGAGCAGGAGGGAGCCTGGCTCAGCCCTCAGCGCACCTCATGGTGCCTGGCAAGCCATGCTGGCAGAGTGAGGCCGATGCTATAGTGCCTATGGAGAAGGACTCCAGGCATCCAGGAGTGGCTGGGGGAGTGCTGCATCCTGCGGGCACACATTGAGCCTCCCTGCCCTTTTCATTTGCAGATCTGTCTGTCACGATGGAGGCACACCGCCCAGCCACAGGTCAGCAGGGAGCAATGTGTGACCAGGGTGAGGGGCTGGGGGCTGGGAGCTGACCCAGTACTTAGCAGTAATAACAGCAATCTTGGGATGATGCTTAAGTCAGTCCAAAAGTCACCAAGACGACAAGCTGATGCAATGCCTGAAATCCTTCCCAAGAGCACATGCAGACCATGTACTGCCACTTCGGTTCCCTACCGCAGTCTCTTGGCAACCATCCTTGGGAACACAAACTCAATGATGCCCACATAAAACTGGCCCAGAGGAGGGGGGAAGCTTATATTGATATCTACAATTAGGCATGCCACCTCAGACTCTCCTTAGACCTTAGAAAGGACCGAACAGAAACAACAGATACAAATGAGACAAAAGCCTCTGTAAAGCAGCTGCTTTCCTTGCCAAGGATATCTCCTCTGAGGAAGGATGCAAAGTTGCCAGTTCATCTCTGTGGGTTGTGGGAACTCAGACCTGGGCTACAGTAGAACCTCTTGTAGAAACTTTGAGGTCATTTCATCTGAACCGATTGTGTGCCACCATAGCAGGTCATGTAAATCAGCTTCAGCAGCTAGAAGTTAAGGGAAGGGGCTGCTTATTTCCAGAGCTTATCTATTTCCACGGCAGATTGGAATTGCACTGCACACTTCTCATTCTTGTTGGTTTTGCAGATCTGCCTGAAGCTGCAGTGACTTCTGAGAATGTTGTGGGATACCCAGAAACAGATGAAACAACTCAGAGTAAGTTGAGACATCGGTGTAACTCTGAACAAGATTGAGGGACCTGAACTGACTGCTCAGTATCTTCCATTCCAAAGTTTGTGTTCTGTATTTTGACTACGAATGGCATTGCTAGCTGTTCTCAAGCTGTTCTCAACAACCTAGATGTTTTTTAGGGACCCTTAAAATAAACCAGATACTTCTAGGGAAAAAAGAAATACGTTCCATAACCAGAACATCCAGACTTCTTGCAGCATTCCTGACCAGTAGTTCATTCTGCTCTCAAGGCTGGAGCAACAAAAAGGACCGTGTGCAAACTGACTCTCTGTACCTCAGCTAAGTTTGCAGTGCCATGGTAGGTTTGAACATGCTCCAAATACAATTGGACAGCATCCTTGAATGAAAAGCATTAAGGGCACCATCTGAAAGTCTTTCTTCAATGGCATGCACTGCACAATTCCACCCCGCTCACAGCTACAGCCCCAGCACTCAGCAGGAGGCTCTGGCTCACATAAAAATACCCATGCGGGGCCAAATGGGCAAGATGCTGCTACATGGGGAGCAGCAGGGACATAGTCAAGTAGTGCACAACTGCACGCAGAGCTCAGGGGCTGGCTGGGCCTCCAGGATGTGGTCAGCATCATGTAAGTGCTGTTGCAGCCTGGGAGGGCTTCTCTGTTTGAAAGTCTTGTGCCATATTGCTACAGGTTCCTGGAGGACTCACCTGTACCTGGTCATCCCGATTGCTGTGTTGGGTGGTGCTGTGGTTTTCCTTGTCATTTTTGCTATTGCTTGTGCTAGAAAGCCCAAAAATGGTGAGTAGATTGTTGTGGGGAGCTTGAATACCTGCCGTGGTTTGGCTTTGAGGGCTTTGTGGGCTGGGGTTGGTACTGTCCTCACAGCTGTGTGTGACAGCTCTGGTAGCTGAAGACACTTGACCAAAGCAGATACAAATTAAAATAGGTGGTGAAAGACTGAAAAAGGCATTTCATTTTTATTAACAAACACAGAATATATTTATTGAATGCTTGAACACACAAGAGCATGCACTTTCTAAAAATTATTTTTGTTAAAGGCATTCAGAACAGCATCTTTTTAACAGGGGGGGGCAGGTAGGGCAGGGCACTGTGCTCCCTCCAGCCCCATTCCTATCCCCACAGTCCCATCACTCTGCCTTGGCCCCCTCCTTGCCCCACTGTCCCCCCAGGGAGCAACAAGGTGGATTCCTGAAGGTGCAAATACCTGGAAGCATCTGTGGTTTCTTTGTTGGTTTTGCTTGCTTTCTTCCCTTTTTATTTTTATTTCTGGGGTACATTCATCATAAAATGTACTGATGCATATCTTCAATTCTTCCTTTTTTTCAGAATCCATCTATGAAGTTGCTTTGTAAGTACAATTTTTCACCTATTATGTTGAGAAGACTTTTTGAGGGCATCATACTGTTATTTGTTTCAGAAAAGCCTTTTTACTCAGCAAAAGGCCAGAGATTTCTGGCCTTACTCTGGGACAGAGTTAATATTCCTCATAACACCCCTAACACTGCTTTACATTTGTGCCTAAAACAGTGTCAGTAACCCCACAGGGATTTGGCTATTGCTGAGCACTTGTGCAGCACCAAGGCTCTCTTTCCAACCCACAGAGGCCAGCAGGTCGGGGTTGGCAACAGCTTGGGTAGGACGCAGCCAGGACAGCTGACCTATCCTGACCACAAAGATTTTCCACACCGTATGACACCCAGCTCAACAATAATGCTGAGGGATGTGGGAGGAGCTGGGGGAGGCGTTTCTGGTTACATCAATTGCCTTTGGAAGCAACCATCACGTGTACTGAGGCTCGGATTCCCAGGCAGTGGCTGGGTATTGCCGGCCGATGGGAAGCAAAGAATAAATCACCCTGCTTCTTTCTGATGGCTTCCACACATGGCCTTTGCTTTTGTCATTAAAGTGCCTCTAACTTAATTCGAGAACTTGTCCATCTTACATTCTTTCCATTATGCAGAGGAAGGTGGAGTGAGATAGCAGCTGTTAAGGGGGATTTAGTCCTCATTCGTAAGAATGTCTCTTTGTTTCAGCCACAGCACTGCAGATGTGATTAGATTGGACACTGATGTGGAAGTCCCTGTTAAGTGCAGAAAAGAGAAGATAAATTCTGAGACTGAAGAATCCTATGAAAATGTTACCGTGACATGTAACAACTATGAGAGCATAACAGGCAACAGCTATGAGAGCACATGCCTGAGTAAAGATGCTGAGAGTGAGACCCTTGTGAATGCAATGGAATCAGAATACGAAGTACAGAACTTTCAGTAGAGTACCAGCATTTCCCACGTGAGCAGCTGTGCAGAAGATGAGGCTACAGATACTGAGCGGTAAACTTTACCAAGGGAAACTATTCTTCCTGTCTGCCTTCTCCTCTGATAAATATACCAGTTTTACTGCTTTCTTTAACTCAGGGGAACTTCTTAGGATTTGGCAAATGAGTCCCTGCCCAGTGGTGCAGAAACCTTCAGCCACACATTTTTAAATAGCAAATAATTTCTGAGCAGCCTGAAGGAGCAAAGTGAGAAAGAAAGGGTCTGAAGGGGTGGAAACAGAAACGTCCTTTGCCTCCAGGTCAAAGTGCAGCTGGGTGCAACACTGCTAGCCAATAACACCAGCAAGGCGCACTCTCCAGCGCATGTTCCCCTGTTTGGGCATGCCAGACTGCGAGGAGCCAAGAACTGTACTGGAAATGGATGGCTTCTGGCTTTTACAGTCCAGCAGATACTGGTTGTACTGCTTGTTTGTTCTGGAGTTGTCTTGTTGTTAGAGGATACTAAAAAGACTACAGAAGGGGTTGATATCCCAGGAATATCATTTAGCAATCAAACTGGAGCTCCTCACAAGTGGGAATAACCCTGTAGGTGATGAGCCTCTTAACTAGCACCCTCTGTTTTTCTTCTGGCAAAGCAGAGCTGGTTTTGAAGGGATTGCTAGCACTTCATTTTGCAGTGTGGAAGCCAGAAGCATGATAAAAAAGTGTTGCAGAGAGAAATCTGAGGCATTTGGAACAGTGACTGAGTAAGGGAGATCCTGGATCCAGCAGACTGACACCGACTCACTGTATGGGACATGACTAAATCTGGTTACACTTGTGATGTTCATGCTTGTCTATCTAATGAGGGTGCCGTGAGCTTTCATTTGTAAAATGCCTTGATTAGTGCACTGCCATTTGTTTCCCATGGCAAATATAAAGTACTTCAAAAGCATCTGTAGTAGATGCTTTCTGGCTTTCTTGGTGTTTTACCACACAGTGCCTTCATATGTCTGTTGTTTGCAAATCTGTGCTCTTTCTCTGTCTTCTGGTTCGATTATATAGAACGGATAGGGGTACAGACCAGACATGGCCAGCATTTGACTTTTGGCCTTTGGCACAGTAGCAACATCCTTTTCTCCAAATTGGAAAGATGGATTTTATGGGTGGACTGGTCAACAGACAAAGAACTGGATGCAGAATCGAGGCCAGAGAGTGTTTGTCAATGGCTCCATGTCTGGATGGAGATCAGTGATGTGTGGTGTCCCCCGGGGGTCAGAACTGTGACTGATAGTCTTTAATATCTTCATCAGTGACAGCAACAGTGGGATCGAGTGCACCCTCAGCAGTTTGCTGATACCCCAAGCTGTGAGGTCTGGTGGACACACCAGAGGGATGTGATGCCATCCAGAGGGACTGAGACAGGCTCAAGCAGTGGGCCCAGGTGAACCTCATGAAGTTCAGCAGATCCAAATGTGGGGTCTTGCATTTGGGTTGAGGCAACCCTCACTACCAACTGGGGGATGAAAGGAATGATAAAAAAGCATTGCAGAGAGAAATCTGAGGCATTTGGAATAGTGACTGAGTAAGGGAGATCCTGGATGAAAAAGCCCTGGGGTTACTGGTGGGTGGAAGGCTGGACAGGAACCAACAGTATGCCTCGCAGCCCAGAAAGCCAACCGTATGCTGGGCTGAATCAAAAGATGCGTGGCCAGCAGGGCAAGAGAGGTGATCCTGCACCTCTACTCTATGCTGTGAGGCTTCACCTGGAGCACTGCATCCAGACAAGAGAGACATAGACCTGTTGGAGAGCATCCAGAGGAGGGCCACAGAAATGATCCCAGGGATGGAACACCTCTCCTACGATGACAGGCTGCCACCCGGGGCTGTTCAGCCTGAAGAGAAGACTGTGAGGTGACCTGGGAGTGGCCTTTTGGTATCTAAAGGGGAGCTGTGGGAATGAAGGGGACAGCCTCTGCAGCAGGGTCTGTGGTGATGGAACAAGGGTAAATGGCTTCAAGCATAAAAGGGGAGATTTAGGTTGGATATGTGGTGGTGAGGCACCAGAACAGGTTGCAGAGAGATGTGGAGGATACTCCAACCCTGGAAATTTTCACGGTAAGGCTGGATCAGGCCCTGGGCAACCTGGGAGCTGTGGATGTCCCTATTCATTGCAGGGGAGTTGGACTAGATGACCTCTGAAGGTCCCTTCCAACTGTAAGGAATCTCTGACTCTGTGACTTGGAAGTTTGACCTGGGTTTCCTTTTTAGAGAGGACGGGTGAGAGACATCAAGCCCACACCACGCTCCTCTCATTAGTTCAACCACAGTTGCAGGCACTGCACGATGGCTGTGCTGCAGCACCAGGATGCTGAGCTTCCTGAGTTGCAGGTAGCACCCAGCAGGACTGTGTCCCCAGGTGCTACGTGGGGCTCAGCCTCACGCTAAGCATTGATCTGCACACGTGTGTTGCTGGTGCTTCCACCTGGCCTGCTCCCTGCTCCTGCCTGCTGGAGAGGAGGGTAGCTGTGTCCTGGCTGAGGAGGAGAAGTGCTGGGATTGCTGGAAATATGTGCGAGGGGCTCTTTTGCTTTGTCTCTGGGTAGCTCATCCTGAAAGGGCTGTGTGCTCTTTGTAACTCATGCACTCACTGCAGAATGCACCTCACAGAAGCTGGCCTTGAAGGCGCAGGGTTGAAACAGTAGTGTTGGTGCTGCCAGTCTTGGGTGAAGCAGCACAAAAGAAATGAGGAAAATGGGGAGCTGCAGCCCTTTGCACAGGGAGCAGAAGCATATGGTATGAGGCCAGTGCTGTGTTGGAAGGAACTGAAAGCTTCTGAGCTTCCCAATTGTCATCACAGCAGACAAAATGTAGAACATGGCTCTCTTTTCTTCCATTCCAAGTCTCAAGCTCATTCATTTACAGCTAGCCTAATGTGTTAGGCAAGATTTACTTTCAATATAAGCTCCAGACTTCACATTCCCTCACTGACTTAGTAACAATGTGATTTCTCCAAACTGTGCTTCCTCCCAGCATCAATCTTCCCTGAGCAACTCCAGGCAGTTTCCTCAGGAGCCCTGAATTCAAGGAGAGGCTGCAAAAGAAGAAAGCAACAGGAACAAAGAAAGAGGTAGCAAACACCTCAGCTGGAGCGCATCCTGAGTACCTCAGCTGTTGGCACTGCCTCCAGTCCAGGCAGCAAAATGGCCTTGGTCACCAGAGAAAGACACACACGTTATCCTGTGCCCAGGTTGTTGTTCCCTCTATGCAGCACATGCTTATTTTTTTATTTATATTTTTTGTGTGCTTGGTAGTAAAAGCCGGTGGGAACAGAATGTTTTCCTCCTGAAAGCCGTAGAGGGCTCTGCTGTGTCACATCTCATCAAACAGAACTTCTCCTTTCCTTGTGCTTGTATTCACCCAGTGACATGGCTCATCTGACAGAGCCCAGTTCTACACCAGCACAGAAAGGGAAACCTCAGCTTCCGCTCTGAAACTACAGGGTCTCCAGAAAAGTACACTATTTCTAGCAGCCAGCACAATATCATGAGACTTGAAGCTCTCCTCACTTCTGTACAGCTGTGCAGACCTGCTGGCTTCTAAACTGCCAGGTTTAGGCCAGCCATCAGAGCCCTCCTGAACCTGCTGCTCTCAACAGAGAGAGGAGAGGAAGGCTCTGGTAGGGAAGTTTGTCCCTCTCTGCTTTGGTATTTCTCATAGAATAAGAATGGATTAACTTTTCTGAAAGCAAAAGCTGTAAATGCATAACAAAACAACTGTAAAGAGCTTAAAATGAACACTGGGCTAGCTGTACTGCACTGCACTGCACAACACTTCAGGCCTGCTGCAACCCGGAGGTCTGTGAGGGTGATGAGAGCTGGGGCTGATGTATCTACCAGCTACATTAAGGATCCACAGAGGACAAAACAAACCCTCAAATAATAGACTTTGCTCTCTTTTGAAGCTGACCTCAGTGATACTGATCAGAGTGATGTCTGTGAGTCATGCGTAGGTTGGAAAGAGACCACGGGAGTGTGAGTCACAGCGGGCAAGACCGTGTTTGTCCAGGAGCACACAGTGAGCCCTGCTGATAGGACTTACTCAGAAAGCAGAACACAGTTTGCTTAGGCCAAACTACATGTTAATTGGTCCCAGCTTTGTACAAACTCCAACTTCTTCAAAATATTTAGGAAAAAAAACCCCAAAACTTAGTATTAAAAAATATCAATATTCTCAAATACCACAAAATTTGACCTAAAAGAAAGGTCAGTAGGGCTTTGGCATTTTTCTCTCAGCGTCTGAGCAAAGCAGTTAGTCAAACTGGGCTGGGCACTTGTGCTCTGTCAGCTGCGCCCCTCGCTCACCAAGGGCTATCTCAAGCTGTGTGTCTGATATGCTACAAGGCTGTCCTTAAAAAAAATGCTAAGAGAGCATTCGATCTTCAAGCAAGGTCACTTAGAGAGAATTATTTGAACAAAATAGAAACGTGGCAAAAGCAAGAAGCAGCCTTGCTGCAAGTGCTGACTAGGAAGACCCAGCCAAAACCAAACAACACTGCTGCAAGGAAAAGTAATGGACTCCATGGTCTTTCTCAAAAACAGCCCAGTTCTGTTCTCCCAGTGCAGAAGAACTGTACTAGCACTCCTGTAGCAGTTTGCCACTAGAATACCACTCCAACAGGCATCCCTGAGACCAGGGTGGAAAGGAAACCTGACAGCATGAAATCAGTGGGGCACCCACTAACAGTGGGGCGGTTTGTTCCGTACCTTGTTGGGTTTTTAGAGAGGAGCAGAATATGGGCGTGAAGGAGTCCATCGCCTCAGTGCACGGCCGTGTTGCTCAGCAAGTGCCTCACTTGGGGTATTTGACAAACTGACACTCTGCCAGACTGAGTGTCAAACTCAGCTTGTCAAATACACGCAGTGCTGCACTGCAGCTCTCAGCAGGCTGTCACCATCCTCGCTGCGGTGCTGTCCTGGGCTAACAGAAGGAAAAGAGCGCTGAAGCTGCTGTTAACTCCAGAGGCATATTCCATTTAGCAAACATCATCATCCCTCCTATACTTCCCCATTCCAACACATCTGGGGAGGCAGACATTGCCTTCCTACTGAGGAAAGTGCTATATTTGTTGAAGTGCTGAAGATCTGTGGAGCTGGAAATAATGCTGAGTTCTAAGCTCTCCCTTTAGCTAAAGATCAACTTTGGTAGCTTGAAATATTGACAAAATATCCATCTGAGCACTCAGACATGCCATTTGGGTACAACATCATGAAGACAAATGTCTCTCTAGACACACAACGTCTAGACAAAGACCTGGAGAACATATTGCAGGGGAACAATTCTGCACAGGGCAGAGATAAGAGCATGATTTTTCACCAGGCTTCTCACCACTTCCATTTCTGTTCTCCTAAGCTTAAACGAGTTTTTGGGGGCTTCTAGTACTTGGTTTCTTTTATTTGCATCTCTGTTAATTTTGCAATCAAGTGGTCTTATGCTTTCCAGTGCCCAATTCTAGATATGCATTTCTGCTGTAGCCAGTCTGACAGATCCCAAGGAACACAGGCTGGGGTGAAATCCTGGCTTTATGCACTTCAGAGTTCCTACTAACAGGAACAGGATTTGTGTTTTACCTCATATTGTACACTAACGGTTAAAAGGGATCTTTCTACCTAAACCTAAAGATCTGAAAAGGGAACCCTTCAAGCCTATCTGGAAAAAGGCACAACTCTGCCTCACAACTCTGCTCCCAGAGTCTGCCTGCCAGCAGGAAGCTGCACTGCTCATTGTAAAGCCTGTGATGTTAAAAACTGAGCTGCTCCACAGAGAAACACTGAACTTCTCGGGGAATGAAGTGAAACTTTCTCTTCCGCTGCCAAATTAATCCCCTTCTGCTTCATTTCCAGCACACAAGAATCTCTCCTGCAATAAACAGAACTCTCCACCCTCATACATGGACATTCTCCATGTCCCTTTAGGCGTGAACATAACCTTCCCTCTCCCATTATTCCTTTGCACAAAGGCCAGAAGATGCTGCCAGCTCCCCTGTTCCTTTAACAAGAGTGGGAATTAAACTCAGAAAAGCACCTGAAGAACTTTAAAAAAACTAGACAATAGTAATAGCAGTATGTCTCTTAACTCGTACTGTGATGGGATGTTGGCAGTTCAGAATTCAAGCAGCTTTGAATTCCAACATGTTCAACTCTCTAAGAAATTCATTGTGATTCCTGAGCTGTACTCATCCTTCATAGCATGGAGATCCAGCACCCATCACAGCTCGGCAGGCCATGCTCAGCTGTGACCTGGTTTGAATCACGGTGCTTTTAGCTGCCTTGCTTCTCCCCTCATCTTCATTTCACATGACTTGCAGCATCAGTTTTTGAGAAAGAATAAACTTCAGCTCAGCTTCTCATTATACTTTGGAAGGACAACCACTAAAGACATGAAGGTAGAATTTAGCTGAGGTGTGTTAACAGCATTCTGCAGTGAGCAATACGGAGCCTTTTCTGTCTCTGACTTCTAGGACTCTATTTTACAAGGAGCATTGTAGGAATTCATCAATATTACACACAGAAATAAACTGAAAAGGGCATCTTTGGTGGGTTTTTTTGTTTGTTTGTTTGTTTCTCAAAAATTAAAGTACAAATTAAAAAATGTTAGTGGCACGTCTGTGCCAAAGATGCGCTCTTCATGTGAGCTGCAAAACCAGTACAGTGAAAAAGCATTTTACAGCAAAAAAAACAGCGACAGCCTTAAAGATAAAATCAATTTCCAGGCAAGGTTACTACAACGGCTTCACAAGTCTTACATTCCCCTGCCCTCTGCATCAGGCCTTCAGGGAGATGTAGATAGTGAACAACTCTTTGTTCCGCCTCCTAATTCAGGGTGAGTTTCAACCACAGATAAAAGTGGTATGTTGCAGTGGATAAAAGAATTATGCACATTTCACACTAGAAAACTTGTGTCAGTGCTAATAAGCTGATTTAAGATCACTCCAGCAAAATACTGGTAAGTGCAATTAAAACAGGTACGTGGGCCAAACGGGTCTCCTTCCAAATCACACTCTGCTGTACTGCAGGAAATAAAAAAAATGAATTAATAAACCCCAAAGGGTTTACACAGCTGCTGTCAGTCTTAAAAAAAAGCAGGATAAGATCCCTCTGCCTGAAAATGCTTTGTCAGTAAGAATTCAACACTGCACACAGAGGAGAGCAGGGGGTTAAAAAATAAACTGCCCTCATTGACTCAGAACATCAGTGTGCAATGGAGAGGTTGTACAGAGACTGAGTAGGAATCTGCCACAGACCTGCCTTGCTTCAGTGCTGGTTGCCAACTGGAAGATCTGGCCTTGAGAGGAAAAAAATCAGCCAGCATTGCATCTGCTCCAGCAGCTGACAACAACCCCTCACTGCAGCTGGGTGGGTGGGTGGGGGGAACAGCCACAAGAAACGTTGCTGACAGTAACGGATAAGAGGAGGGTCACACAGTGGAGATAATTCTATCAGCAGATGGGAATGGAGCTCACTACCCCACCCTGTAATGATGGTATCTCTTCTGAATAGATCTGTCACTGTCAGAGCTTCTGGTTTCAAGCTTTTGGGGTATTTCCAACTCAAAGCTTAGTGCTGTAAAAGAGACCAAGCAATCAGCTCCATACTGTGGGGGAGAAACAGAAAGCTTCCTGCATTCTCCAGTTAAGTCCTTTATTGAAATTAGGGGGAAAAACCAAAACTTTTCTAAGTCACTCACCGTCTCTCGGGGGATTTTACATGGCTACCAGGCAGGTCTGCAGCCTGTGATGAAAACAAATGAAAAGTAAAATTATTGCATACATTTTTCTCTAAGCCTGATAACAGCATGCACAAATATGCAACAGTGTGTTTCTTGCACACTGAGTGGCAGTGCCTTAAGTTGAAGGCTACTTCCATTCCAGGATATGCACTTACTGTGCAGGATTAGCACTGGAATCCAGGCCATCTCTGTTTTCTGCTCAGTGAAACCCAAATAGCAGCCTGGACTGAAAGCAAGAATTCCCACAGATGTGTGGGAACCGGGTCCTCTGTACCATGGCTGTCAGTGAACCTTGGGACATGCTTCTCCAGGATCTGGAAGCCTTCGTCAGAACCAAGTCAAACTTAAATAAGCATTTGCTGGTGGCAGACTTCCCATGGGTGCTGATCCATTTAGGATCTTCCTGTGCTCCCAGCCCTGCAGCTGACACTGCTGAGAGCTTTGCTTGAAAAATGTTGGAATGTTTGGCACAGTCCAGTCTCATCTATCAGGCAGGCTCCAGTGAAGCCTGGAGCTGCAGCTCTAAGGGTTTACTTCATCACAGGCAAGCTGGGCTGTACATCTATTATAGCTCCCTGTAGCACATCTGCTGGCTTGAACGAGACAGCTAGCAATTTAAAAATGGAACAAGAGGCCAAATGCAACATCTATTTAAATAATAACTTTTGCTCCTCAGCTGGAAGGTGCCAAAGCAGCTCTGAGCTGCCTCCTTTGTCATACAGAGCAGCTCCAGACTGAGCCCATCACAGCCCAGTAACACTGTGGAGCAGCAGTGTTCAAGGGACAGCCCCATTCCTGCCCCAGCAGCCTCTCCCCCCCTGGCTCTGCAGCGATTAGAAGGGCCCTTGCCGCTCACACCAGACTGCCAGGAGCCTGTGGGCTGAAGGTCACCACTGAGCCACTGCTCTGTCCTGAAGAAAGCTCCTAAAGCTGAGACTCAGCAGTCGCACCACAGCATTGGGAGCACCTAGCTAAGAGCCTACAGTGCTTGATGAGGGCCGTAGGCATCTAGCAGCCACACGTTCCCACTGCCACTCACTCACACTGCCATTACCTTGGCCATACAGCTCCACACACGCTCGGTTTGTTCCCGCTTTTGTAAAAAGGCTGAGAGCAGCCCAGGCTGGACATCCCCTTCCTGGCCCTGCTCCTCCATCTTGTCCCATAAGTCTAACTTTCCCTCTTTGGACCTACTCCAAAAGCAAAGAACATAATTCAGCACTCTTTCCCCGCATACAATGTAGCCCCACTTCCAACAGGAAACTGCATGGTTGCCTACCTCATGCCTCCACACCTCCTTCCCAGGAGTAAGAGGCAACAAAGCATACAGCCAGCCCCAGCTCTGGGTGCAGAGCCATAAGTATAAGGCACCTTCTAGCAGCTGCAAATGCTCTGGGAAGGAGGCCGTGGGCTTTGGCTATGGCTGCAGAAAAAGCTTTTGAGGTCCCAAAATGCTTTAACTGGCACCTCGCATTTAGGCGAAAGTGCTGGGAAGGGCCCAGTCACCACATTAGCTGGTAGCATGGCCACATGCCCTCCCACATCACCCACACTCACCTGTCAGCTCCAGCCCCTTCCCCCGCTGCTCTGCGATGCTTTCTGGAGGTCGGGAGAACCTTCGTCTGACAGCCTGGATCTGGGAAACAGCCAGGAGAGGAGCTGAAGGACATAACTGTGCCCAGCTGGGACACGATTCCCCAGTACACCCTCCTCCATCCCACAACTTCCCCACTCTTCGTTGATGTCTCATCTATGACTAGTTGAGATCATAATCTTGCTACAGCCAGTAACATCTGTAGCATGTCTGCATGTGCCTGCAGGAGGCAGGGAAAACACATGCATCCCAACATTAAGTAGGGTATGGACACCACTTAATATTATTAATTCCTAATTATCTTCATTACTGAATCACTGTCCCAAGGACTGCATTCCCTAGGTAGGATGGGCTGTGTCTGCATCCTGCAGCTCTGCACACACAGAAGACACACTGCCCAACCACAGCTGCTCCCCAAAGGGGAATATCAACAAAGCTTCTCTGGCTTAGCAAGAAATGCTCTCGACATGGAAGGAGCAACCAGACCTGAGCTCCCATCCCCCAGAAGCTGGAGGTGAAATGGCGGCAGGGCGCCCCAAAGCCAGTGACCCACAGGGTGATCCTCCCTCTCCCCTCAGCTGCAGAACAGACCTCTGGCACCTACCAGGCAGAGGCAGCGGTGTGGGGCTGGCTTGGCAGCAGGGCACAGCTCAGGGAACACAGCTCAGTTTTGAAGGGGCCGCTCCTCCTTCAAGAGGAAGCTGCAAATGGGGAAGATAAGGCTGAGGTTAGATAACAGGAAACGTCTGGAAGCGAGTGACAACACGTTCAGGTTGTGAAAGCAGCTCCCCATCCCATACTAGTGTGCAAGGCTTGGAGAGGGCAAGAGACAGCTAGGATGACCCTCAAGCCCTCACTATGTGCAGCCAAGTCACCTCAGCAAGCCCAGGCCTTTGGAGCAGAGCAGCCAATCCCTCACATCCCAGCTGAGGGCATCATCCTGCTTGCCCTGCTGTCTCCACAATGAAGCAGCTGCACGGCTGTACTGGCTGACCAAAGCTGGCCAGCTCACAGCATCACAGCAAAGCTGGGCTGGGGGACCCAGAGGAGCTGCAGGGAGAGCTGGAAAGGACACAAAGTCAAGGACCACCAGGAAGTCTTTGACTCAAGGAACAGGCTCATCAACATGCTTGACCCAGAGGGGTTTCTTGTATCTTCAGCTGCATAAGCAGCAGGATAAGGGCTGCCAAAGTGCTGCCTCTGGAGTTGCACCCAGACTTTATTCAGCATCATCCAGAGTTATAAACAGAGCAGATCCCGATTCTTACATCATGGCCTGCGTGCAGTACAGGGTGCCCTAAGGTAGATGGTGCATCATCCCTCAGTGCTGCTTTCATCTAACTTGACTGGCAGCAAGGCATGTCAATACAGCTGTATAGACAGAGGCCAGTGCAGAAGCTAAACTGGTCCAAACAAAAGCAGAAACTTTAGAGGGAGATTCTTTAGTGTGGTCAGTATGGTGTACCATATTTTGTAAGGACAGGACTCACTAAAAGTGTTATTTTGTGCCTGCATTATCCCAAGCATGTATGCCAGCAGCAGTGCCACCATTAAGATGTGGAATCCTTCTCAGGATCCATCTTCTCTCTCCCAGCACTCAGCTGCTGTCCTCGTTTTCCAACTTCTAACTCTCAGGTTTTCCTTCCCAGCCTTCCTACTCCAGTCCCAGCTCTGATGCCAAACCACTCAGAGCTCTTCTCACATGTGCTGCCCCAGTCCTTTGGCTAATGCAGGCTCCAGCAGCAAGTGCTGCATAATCTCCAGCAGCTTTCAGTTATGTTATCAGCAAGCTTGGGTTGCAGACATTTATTTATTATGTTCCTGCAGTTCTGTCCAAATTCCTGATCTGTAAGACATGTATGCCAGGGACTGTGTGCTCCAAGATCCTTGGGACTGCTCGTGGGCTGCTCCTGTGCTTGTGTGTAGGTGCCAGAGAGGCCAGCTCTCCTGCTGAAATCCAAACCTGACGCTTGTGCTGAGGGATAGTTAGATAATGAGGAATACAGTTACTTTCAAGTTCCTCTTTCATCTGCCTGCGTTTTAAAATACATAATAAAAGAGGAATGGAAAGGTCTGGGTGGTTTATTTCTGTTTTTACTTTGGTTTTAGTTAGGGCAAAGAAGCGGGCTTCATGTAGTCTTTGTAGCCTTTTTCTGGCCTTTCTTTTTCACTCTCCTTCTTTTGCTTATGCCCAAAAGGCTTTAAAATGGCTTAGCACTGAGGTTAGGATCTATAGAAAGAAAGGGCAGGTATTTTATTTTTACTATTTGTGGGCACGCAGTGCAAATAAAGTGCTGAAAAACAAAATTCTTGGTCACTCACATTGGAAGACAACTCAGGGCTGAATTTAAGAGTGAGAGAACACCCAGGCAAATACCACAGCATTTTGTCATTTCTGAAATCCCAGACAAATCCAAATTCTTCAGTCCACACTCTAATCTCACATTGGACTTCTCTGTATTCTCAACATGAAGCAGCTAACAGTGTCTCTCCCATCATTTTCTGCTATGTGAACAAAAGATCTGAATTCATCTTTGCTAGTTTCAACAACAAGTTCTTAGCATTACTGATAAAACCCTGTCAGCCTGTTTCTGAACATCTGAGGGACTTCCTGTATTTTACTGGAAATAGTGCTGATGCACAACAGCGTGGATCAGAATCGATTCTGGCCCACAGGCAAAAAAAGTCAGAACCTGAAAAATGCACTCAAAATGTAGATGCTATTCAATACACACATTAGGAGAACAGGAGAGAATTCCTCCACAGATTTACTTGTCCTTTTTGCAACCCTCCACAAGTTTGGCTCCATCCTGCTGGCAGCTATCTCCATACTGCTCTGAAGCTAGGGGTCAAGTGTGCTGCATCTGTTGTACAGGAGGTCAGGGTGGTTAATCAGAGTGGTCTCTTTTGGCCACTCCTTCTCACAATTAATGGTGAGAAGCATCAAACTCAGATGCCTAAATGTAGGCCATTAAATCTGTGGATAAAGCTTTTTGGTGCAAACAGCCTTATGGCAAAGACTGCAGGCTCGCAGGCTCCCAGCCTCCTCACTGCACCTGCAGATCAGGTCCTTTGCATTTCAGGAAATTAGAAGGCTCATTCCAAGTCTGGTGCTTTTGTCCCGCTCATTTTTGTCACCTGGCTGCACCTGGTAGCAAACCTTGCAGATCTGGGAGCAGCATCATGCTGAAAATTGGTCTGTGGGCATTTCAGGCTCGCCTTGGGTGGCTGCACAAATTAGTACTGACTTTACGCATGTAATACGAGAAACAGACTGATTTTAAAAGACATTATGAAACTGAATCAGTGTGAAGAGAAACACGACTCTTCTGCACTCAACAGAAAAGCCTAAGGCACAGCTGCAAAACTCACACTGAGAGCTGAGGTCCTTCACGGTCAACATGTGCTCCATGGTTCCGTCCAAAGCAGCTAGGTTGAAGCTTATTCAGGTAGGCCAGCTTCAGCCAGAGTTCCTAGCAGACATGCCAGCACAGACCATTAAGTCTGATAGAGGATGATCCAGTGCCTTTCTCTAGTCAAGACACTGCTTTGCGCAGCTCCCAAATGCTGCATGGTCCTGGAGGCCAATACTGATGCCTAAGGTGGACGTTCACAGCAAAGCTGACTTCCTCCATAGCTTACAAATGTCACCACAGCACCCCACTCAGTGCAAGAGCCTTGAAATTGCACTCTATTTCCTAATCAAGCTAGCTTTTTCAGTACATTTGCAGCATGCAGCTCTGCGGCCTGTTCTGGGAAGTGGGAGAAAGGAGAGAGAGAAGATAGGAAGGATTACAGATGGCCAACTAATACAGTCTCAGAGGTTTCTACACTGTTTCCCAAACCACAAAATTGTCTTGGAAAACAGCTTGAAAGAAGTGGCTAAAATGGCTCACGTAGCCCATCTGACCAGCCTGCAACAAGTTCTCTTGCATTTTAGTTTCGAGTCACTGTACGTTTTACTTGTCACGAAATCAGCCATGAAGAATTAGCAGGTTTGTACTGCACAAAGAACAATTCCTTCTCATTCTGCTTCTGTGCTGCTCTGTATTCATTGATCTACACCAGTTGGTGAAGACCAAATGAATGCTGAGTTTGCTCCACTGCTCAGTGTACCTTCCCAGAATAGCAAGAGAATTTTCCTCGTAACACTTCATTCCATAAATATCTTCAAAGCCAAGCTCCTCTTGACAAAGGAATTAAAGCTGTATATCATCTGATATATATATATATATACGACTGATTACAACCATCAGGATGGTCTTTCAGTTTCCTTGGAAACTGAAAATGTGAAAACACAGTTTTACCATCCAGAGAGCAGCACCTGGAACTGAGGTCATCAGCTTTTATGTCACTGTATAAAGTGATGCAAACATGAATTGTTCGTACATCAAGCTTAGATTCTCTTCCCAGGTGGAGTGCTATTTATTTCCACACTGGCTAACTATTTGAAGTGTTATTTTCTCCACCCTTGGGGTCTTGGAGAGCTTTCAGATTAAATCCCAAAGAGCCATCTGCTGCTGGAACTTCTCTTGAGCTGTCTCTGCGAGCAGTAGATACTGATGTACCCGGGGGCAGCCTATGTCCAGGAGCCCAACTCCAGGGCTCCAAGGAAGCCAGGAGTGCCTGATACAGCAGTCAGCTCTAAGCACAGCCTGTGGCGATTTGTCCAGATGGCACTGAACCCTGACACTTCTCCAGGCGATGTCAGGGCAAAGCTGAGGAGACCGGTGTGAGCCTTACATGAACATGCACGGAAAAAGAAAACAGTACAAAGGATCTTTCACATGAGTGACCGTAGTGGAGCGAGGAGAGGAGGAAAGGGGAGGTCAGGAGTAATCACAAGGCTTACATCTGGGAGCAATTGTGCTGCACGATTCTCCAGGGAGTAAGATGGGGCGAGTGCTGAGAACATTCAGAAGATGGTTGATGAAGCCACAGCTTAACTCTACAGACACTAAAAAAACCTGCAGCAATGCAGGAAAAAATGACAACTGTTCCTCAAAGGCTCAGACATCCACAACAGAGGAACTCACCGGGGAAATCCTCCTGTAACCCAGGCCTTTAACTCCTGCAGCTGGGCATAGAGTAGGAATCTCTTCAGCCAGCAAACTAGGCTGGAGACATTGCACCCCACTGCTTGTCTGCCTGCTTGCTAGTTCCTTCTGCAAAACACACACATGGCTGCACATGCCTCACTGGCCTGCCTGGGCCCTGAGTTGTGAGAGCACTTTTTTTTTTTTTTCCCTCCATTTTGAATCCTTGTTTCATTCAGAAAAGAAAAACCAAGTCAGCACCGCACACATACCCCCATTTTTGCTGTAAGAGCTGTCTCCCTCCCTTCGTGCCCCCTTCTCAGGCAGGCACACAGCAGTAAGTCAGAGGCTCGACTCCAACCAATGGAGGATGTTTCTGTTTGTGGCTGATTACATGTTAGTCTTTTATTTTAGACTTATGGTTACAAAGCAAAAAAAGAGAGAGAAAGAAGACAAATAAAAACCAGGAGTTCAAAGTTGTTTTCCTGATGGACAGCAGCAGATAACAAAACCACACTAACTGTCACAGCCACTGAATGACCCACAAGGCATTCTGTACTGCACACACTATTAGTAATAGTATACAACAAAGAACTGTTGAGCAAATGCTGTAATTCTAAAGAGGCAGAAAAAGAGCACTACTTTATGTCATTTAGTACACCCAT